AGGAGACCGAGGAGACCTCCGTCCTCTGGGCCGAGCTGGAGATGTCCGAGTCGTCCGTCATGGGTCTCCCGCAGACCGTCTCCATGATGCAGGCGCGGAACTACGGGGATGGGGGTGGCTCAGGCCCCCAGGGAGCCCCTGTGTCCCCTTGGCCCCCGTCCCCCATCCCTGGGATGGTCTTTCCATCCCTGATGCCACGTCGAGCCCGTCTCCCGTCCCTGGGGATGTGGTACTTCCAGGCCTGGAGGTGGCTCTGGGCATGCCCAGGTGGCCCCAAGTGTCCCTGGGTGTCCCCCATCCCCAGGTGTCCCTGCTCCCTGGATGTCCCAAATCCCTTGGCAACACGTGTCCCTGGTCCCTACTCCATGGTCATTCCCAGGCATCCCTGGATGACCCTGGTCCCCAAGTGTCCCCGGTCCCCAGATGTCCTTGGGTACCCCAGGATCTCCCCGTTGCCTGAGCATCCCTGGATGACCCTGGTCCCCAAGTGTCCCCGGTCCCCAGATGTCCTTGGGTACCCCAGGATCTCCCCGTTGCCTGGGCATCCCTGGATGACCCTGGTCCCCAAGTGTCCCCGGTCCCCAGATGTACTTGGGCAATCTGAGGTGTCCCCATTTCCCGGGTGTCCCTGGATGTCCCCATCACCTGGGTGTCCTGGGGTGTCCCCATCACCTGGGTGTCCCAGGGTGTCCCCGGTCCCTAGAAGTCCTTGGGCACCCTGAGGTGTCCCCATCACCTGGGTGTCCTTGGATGTCCCCATTCCCTGGGTGTCCCCATCACCCAGGGTGTCCTGGGCTGTCATTGTTCTCCAGATGTCCTTGGGCACCTCAGAATGTCCCCATTGCCCAGGTGTCCCCGGATGCTCCTGGTCCTCAAACATCCTTGAGCACCCCTGGGTGTCCCCGGTGTCCGGGTGCCCCTAGATGTCCCCATCCCCGGGTGTCCCTGCTCTCTGCCTGTCCCCAGTCCGTCGACACCCTTGGTGCCCAGTCCCTGGTCCACAGGCATCCCAGAACAACCCTGTTCCCCCAGTGCCCCTGGACATCCTCGGTTCCTCGGGCACCCCTGGAGGTCCCCATCGCCCGGGTGTCCCGGGGTGTCCCCGGAGGGGGTCACCTGTTTGTTCATGAAGCAGTAGATGATGGGGTTGTAGACGCAGGCGCTCTTGGAGAAGAAGGCAGGGATGGTGACCAGGCGCAGGTCCAGGCCGTGGTCCCGGTTGTTCACCATGTACATGGCCAGGGCCGCGTAGGGCACGTAGCAGAGGCAGAAGGAGCCCACCATCACCACCACCATGCGGGACACCTCCCGCTCCGCCTTCTGCGTCGTGGCCGACTCCTGCTGCTGCGCGGCCACCTGCGCCCAAAGCCGGCGGGGAGGGGGGGGGGGGCGGGGGCCTGCCCTCCTGCCTGTCCCCCTGCCCGTCCCCTGCCTGCCCTCCTGCCCCTGTCCTTCTGGCCGAGAGGCCCGTCCTCTCTCCAGCCCTCCATCTCTCCAGCCCTCCAGCCAATCCTCCAGCCCTCCTTTGCTCCAGCCTTCCAGTCAACACCCCCTCTCCATCTCTCCTTACCTCCGTCCCTCCAGCTGATCCTCCATCCCTCCACCCCTCCTTACCCCCATCTCTCCATCTCTCCATCCTGCCATCCCGCCATCCTGCCCACCTTCCTTCCCTCCACCCTTCCAGCCACCCCTCCATCTGCCCTGCTCTCCACCCCTCCTTCCCTCCACCCCTCCAGCCTCCATGTCTCCATCCTGCCATCCCCCTAGACATCTCGCCATCCCTCCTGCCCTTCACCCCTCCATCCCACCCAACCTCCATCCCTCCATCCTTCCAGCCAGCCTCCAGTCTTCCATCCTTCCATCTCTCCATCCTCCCATCCCTCCAGCCATCTCACCATCCCTCCTGCCCTTCATCCTTCCATCCTGCCCAACCTACATCCCTCCAGCCAATCCTCCATCCCTGCATCCTTCCGTCTCTCCATCCTGCCATCCCTCCCTGCCTCCAACCATCCCTCCT